TGCCTATTTTTAACTGCGGGAAGTGTATGAGGATCCTACTAAGACCTTTTGTTTTCGATTAGATAGATATGATCTGATAAAGTCCGTAAGAGGACTACGAAATCCTACAGCTTCCTGTTTGGCTAGAAGCCACCTATGAGGTACTTTTTTGATGGCACCGAAGATGTACTTTACAAATAAACCCGATTATTTACTAAGATCAACATAGATAACTACCGCAGAGAAATGATAATTACGAAGAAGAGTAAGTAGGTTTAGAAAAGACCTGTGACATGTTTCACAGGATCGGTCCGGAAAAAATGCCATGCTGTGAGGAGCTGAGAATTTTACTGATTATGCAAAAATCTGTAATTTTTTGGCAATTAGTTTTTCAAAGATTTTAGCCAGAGAGGGCGTTTTATAAACACTACGATAATTGGGGGTATATATATAAACATACATATAACAAACGTTTTGACATAAGTAGGTTATGTATAATTCTTTCCTCATGAGAGCGACACACGCTCAAACAGTGAAGGGCACTTAAAATGCCAACATCTGTCAACTTTCATAAAAAATCTATGCACTTGTTGCATCAGTGTAATTATTCCACATGTTATCCCCCCATCCTTTCCACAGTTTGCCATTTGACACTGCTCCGTGTCTTACCAGTTTCAGGCATTTTAAAATATACTATGTGAGCTGTTTCAGTTTTGAACATTTTTATAGACTTCTTCAGCAGTAATGTTGGATGCTAACGCAACCTGTTAGAAAGGTTGCATATGATTCCCGCGCAAATTCGAAGTGCTCAGAGTAATTTCCTTCAGTTTAATTAGCCCGAGAAAATTATTGAAGTAGCAATACGTATATTATTCAAAAGTACCATCATAGCTATGCGCTCTTGGATTTAGGTACTACGCTTTGACTGTGCTCTCGCAATTCTGACCTTGACTAAGCGTTCAGTAGGCGCGCAGTGTGCACATTTCGCGGTCGTTTGCCTATCATGCTCGCAGTAACTAAGTTCAGCCGAGTTCCAAGTTTCGTGCCGATTTGCCGGTCACTTTTGACTTTGAGATCCCCCAACAGTGGTCTCACTTTAAATGAACCTATTGCTCCAGTCCCTGGCAAATGCCCTATTTGGTCGGAAAATACAAATGATATATTTGCTGACCTTAAAGATGGTATATTTCCGTTTTGGGGTTTATATTTCTAGGTGCAAAGGTTCTCGTCCAGGGCGCATCGTCATCGCCTTCTTCACTGATTTCTCTTCTTTATCAGCACGTTATGGAGAAGGGGTTGAAAAAAATAACAGTCAACCACTTTCACCCACTTGGTCCGCTACCATACCTCAACGAGGAAGCCAAAGACAATTTCCGCCTTAATACATGCTATTCCAGTATTTTTGTCCTTAATTTTAACAACCTTTAGCTAATTTATGTCGTGACGCTATCAACACCGGACGGGCAGACTTCACTCCGATATCAGTTTCGGAGATACCTCTTTTTTATCGCTCGGGGCGTGGGGAGACGGACTATGCCCTTATTACGGTTACGCCTCCTGACAAACATGGCTTTTGCTCCTTAGGGGCCGCGGTTGGCACTGTGCGTTCGGCTATCCAAAACGCTAAGAAGATAATAGGTAAGAGTTTCAGTGTTATGATGGCTATTCTGTTAGGTCAGGTTAACCCGATGGCACCAACCACTTATGGCGATGGGACTATTCATTGCAGCAACATTGATTACTTTGTGCATGGACCCCAAATGTTGCATCAAATTCCGCCTCCGAAGACAAATGTTACAGAGCAGAAAATTGCAAAGATTATTGCTGAAAATCTTGTGGAGGACGGTGCAACAATACAGCTAGGTAAATGCTAGTTTTTTCTTTTTAAGAAAAAAGAAACTTTCACTTCGGTGGACCAAGTTGCGTTAACACTTTTGCTTTTACTGCGCAGAGCAAAACGTTTAATGATAAACTTATGACCGACTTGACAAGGTTGTTTAATATAATGACTTTAGATACATAACCAATCTGGCCACTGATTTTATTGACCGACAAGTTACTGCAGTTGCTGCATGTGACCTTTCATAAAGTCATACATAATGCTTGGCAGCCGGAATTTTGGTAAACCAGGTGCAAATATTCGCATGTCCGGAACAAATTAACGCGAACTGGAACGTTCACCACCAGACACCCACATAATTTTGATCCTAACTTCGTCCTAACTCTAAAATTAACCCTATCCTGAAAACAAAAACTGTTCATCCTGAAATTGAGCGAAAGACTCTCAAGTAGGTGAGGATTTCCTATTCCGTCTGTTGCAAAAGTCTGAGCTTTGAATAGGTCTATTAGTCATGATTAGGGTTGTATGTCTGACATTTTTGATGACGATATATGCTTAGAGAAAACCGAGAAAGGTGATTAGCATAAGCTATCGATATTACACGACAGAAACGTTCTTTATGGGCTGGTGTATTCTGTGACTCGTTCATAAATAGACCTATTTCTCGCGAAAATTCTAGTGACTGTGCTCTGCTGATCAGCGGATCTTATGCCTTCTCTTACGTCAAGCCGCGCAAGACCATTATATCATCTACATCAATTACCCGTATTGCAGCCTACTGGCTACATGTAGCCTAGAGAACGTATATAAGCCTACTAAAGATTTGCCTACATTTTCTCATTTACCAATTTCTTCTATTGAAGAAGATAATGTTTATCAATATAAGCATAATGCTACGGCGGCCACTTTTATATTGACCTAAACTCATTTATCTTATCTTTGAGATTGCGGAATCCACGTTATTTTCATAAGCTTTATTGTAGCACACGAAACAGATCACGTTCGTCCTAAGTGTTTTAACCTCACCTATTTCCACATTTTAAGTCTCATCTTTGCCACTGCCAATAAGATACGTTTCTGTTTTTGTTTCGAACTGCGATGCTTTTTCTTACATTTTACGTGGGGAACACATCATGAACGATTTATAATCAGCTTGTTGACTAAACCGACATGAAACAGTACTATTTTAAATGACCATTTCAACTGTATATATTGTACTTTTGCTTGTACCTGCGGCGAGTGTGTTAAAGCGGTGACTAACTGCATTTGACTGGCTGCTGATTAAAACTTAAGTGGAATTTACTGTTCTTTCGTTAATGGCATGACATATTAATTTTTTTTCCGGTTATTTTCAATCTAGGATTTGGTCGCATTCCATATGAAGTCGCCAACCAACTTCGTGGTCACCGTGACTTAGGCGTGCATGCTGAGATGTTCTCGGACGGCATTGTTGATCTTGTCAATCTGGGCGTTGTAAATAACAGAAAAAAGACGGTTAGACGTGGGCGCATTGTTGCTAGCTACACCATCGGCACAGAGAAGGTTTTCGATTTCATTAATGAAAATCCTCTGGTTGGTAAGTATTCTGTCATTTATTTGTCGTATACAGGTAAACAAAGCATGCATTGTCGTTTTATTCTTTTAAGCAGACCGCAATGCAAATATCAGGGGTTACGATATTATTGTGCTACGATATAATCTTTTTATTAACCTTTTCCATGGAATCACAAATTTGGGTTGTTTTCGTTGTGTTGAAATCTTTGGACTACCCCGTGATGTCTTATCTATTTGGTCGCCCATGCTTTAATAGAGATATGAGCCCCGTTAGCACCCGATGTGCCTAGCTCACTCCACTTTATGGGGCTGGAGGAGGTTAAGATAACACGTTGTTTTGCGATTTTCATATCAATCTCCACATCATCCATAAATAAGGCTTGCTTTAAGCCATTCCTCAACTGTAGCTCCCTCATGGCATTTCCATGGAACCGCATACCTTCCCTTCTCTTACAGTATCTGCTTACATAAACCAGTCTAAATTCTCACCAGGAGTTGCGCTTATTTTCCAAAATTCTCTTGAAAAGCCCATTGTGTCATACTAATTATCTTTCTTCCCATCCTCCCTCTCAGCACTCTACGATATCGCTTGGGTTAACTCCATCGAGGTTATTGCCCGCAATCCGAAGGTAACAGCTGTCAATACTGCCTTCGAGATAGACCTGACAGGCCAGTGCGCTAGTGACAGTCTTGGGAACTCGATTTTCACCGGTAATGTGGTCACTCTTAACTTGGCATATTCCTTGTCCATCTCCATGTATGCCATGCAGAAGTAAACAGTATAGAAAACCCAAAAGACAAAAACTAACCACTTTATTTATCCACTGTTTAAAATTCCAAACAGGTGAGACTTCACGAGCAAAACAAAATAAACATACCTTAGATTTTTACAAAGTGGATATACTACCCTGAGCAATTATTTGAACAGATCGGGTCAGCCAAGTTATCGAACTTAGCCGCAATCATTCGAAATGACGACTATTTTCAGCTA